GGCGGGAGTGCCGCCTCGCTCCCAAGCGGCGCACTGTAGCAGTGCGCCACCGGGCCGGCCCATGCTAAGTTTATTTCAATTGAACAACTTCGGTGCTACTTCATTGTAGACAGTTAAGAAAAATCTTCAGCATTGTTGTGTTCAAAAATAAACCCTGCCATTAACAATATTTGAATACGGGAGATAGAGTTGTAACAAAAAGCAGGAAGGAAACAGACAGGGAAACACACTGTAGGGAGCCTTACGGCAGTCGGTGGGAACTGCTGGCCACATCAGGTCACCAGGCCTAGATCGGAGGCCCCTGCTGTCCGTGTATATTCCAACGCTCTTAAAACACAGCAGATACTCAATGCTGGAGATCTCCACTGCACAGAGAGCATCCACTGGCTGCTGTGCAATAAATGACAGAGTGGGGTCATGGGAATGGAGCATCCTGTATGGGATTCCTTCTCTCCTTAGGGGGTATCTCAGGAATCCCGACTGAAATCCTACACAAAGCTGCTCGCTGAAGATGGCCATCCACTGGACACTGGTTGGGACTTGGACCTCTTTAAATTTTCTGTGAGAAATGTTCTTGCTCTGAAACAGCTCAAAACAGAGGACCTGGCTTTTCCTAGCCACACAGAGGAACGTATGGACCCCGTGGCACGTTGTTCCAGAAGCCATGGTCTGGCACCCTTTGGTTTCCGCCAGCTTGTGAACAGCAGTCTTCCGTCCGTCCAAAGCTGACATGGGAAACAGGTGCACATGGCGATTTCGTCCAGAGATCACTGCAGCCATCTGGCCATGAGGGATTAGCTCAATCTGATGGATCTTCTTCATGTCACCAATTCGAATAATTTCTACAAACAAACGTGATTGTAAATCATTTTCAAATTCAAAATAATTTATATTTTTAAAATTTTGATTCTCCCAATTTTATTAATAACCATTGATAAAAATGATCTGATAAATCTTTATGTCATCAACCTGATTAATTTCTCTAAAAATAAAAACGGCAAATCACCTTTAAGTTAGCAATGCTTTCTTATTTTTAAATTCTCTCTCAGTTACTTAAGTCAAGTTCTGATTCCAGTGGAGTCAACAGAAATCAAACTGGACATGTGAATAGAAATATCTAAACTGGAGCAGAGAAAGAAAAAGAGGAGGACAAAGAAAAGAAGAGACCCTCAATGACCTGAGGAACAATATTAAGAAAATCGATATTGAAACAAATGAATAAAATGAAATTTCCTTGTTTTTCAATTCTTTTCCAATGGTTATGAGCCAGGTTCTAATAACATCACAGACACAAACTCACAGGGTAAGTTTGAAGAAAAAAAAAAAAAAAAAAAAAAAAAGGATAAGAAGAAAAGGATAAGAAAGAAAAAAATCATAGAGGTAAAAAAGAATGTAACTATTCCTGAGATATACAATTATCTTAATAATTCCGATAACATTAGCATAATAAAGCACCAAACTTAGTCCTGAGAGTCCAGGCAGCGAGGCAAACACCTCTCAATGTCTTACAGATGGAAATACACTACTTCTTTAGAGAAGAAAATATCATTTTTTTCCGGCCCTAATCGGATTCCTCTATCCCACAAGAGTTTGGAGAGCATTTACCATGAGCAGGCCCTGTTCCGAGTGTTCCGGGTACAGCACTGAACAAAAGCCTGGGTCCCTGTGCCCCTGTGAATTCCTTGGTGGACCTTCTGTGGACCTCCTCACCGGGACAGAGTCACCCTTACACCCCAGAAGGCCTTTCCATGGAAAGCAGAGCACATGCTTCAAATGCACGTTCTCCTTCACCTGACCCGACGTCAGGAAGGAGTGTGGCAAGAGACTGATATTAGAACGGCTCCTCTCGATTTCATCGGCCACCACGTTTCTCCCCCAAACAACCACCACAACAAAACCAAACAAAAACAAAAACTCTGCTGTCTCCTCTGAGAAATACCCAATTTCACGTTGTGCAGTGCCAATGTGATGGTGGGGGTAGGGAGGGCAGAAGAGAGGACAGAGCACAATTTTATTTTCTTTCATGCACCAGATCTAAGATGGTAACCTATGTTCTTACAGTAGACGTATTAGATAAAGTCAGCTGTGCAAATATTTACACTCGGGGATTATGGATCCTTGGAAATAAGAAAAATCATTTGACTTGAAAACATAACAACCCAGATATGGAAGTTTTGATTTACAGAAAACAAAGAGAACAAATCTGAAATTATTATTATTAGAGTTGAAAGTTATTCTAGAACAGTAAACAGTCTCCTTACCAGGTTCCTCAAACAACTACAGATAGATCTACGATATGACCCAGCTATTCCACTGCTGGGAATATACCCAGAGGAGTGGAAATCATCATGTCAAAGGGATACCTGCACTCCCATGTTTACTGCAGCTGTATATACAATAGTCAAGAGTTGGAACCAGCCCAAATGCCCATCATCAGAAGAGTGGATAAGGAAAATGTGCTATATCTACACAATGGAATTCTACTCTGCTATAAAAAAAATGAAATACTACAATTCGCAGCAACATGGGTGGACTTAGAGAAAATTACATAAAGTGAAATAAGCCAGGCACAGAAATAGAAATACCACATGTTCTCCCTTATTTGTGGGAGCTAATAAAAATGAATTAATAAATATATGAACAAATACTTGGAGGTGAAAGAAGACACAACAGTCAAAACAATTCCTTGAACTTACTAAGATAAGTGAACAGATATGATGTTGATGGGGGGAAGGAGGGAGGCAGAGAGAGAGGAAACAGAGGAATTGGTAAAGGGACATGAAAATCAACTACACTGTATATTGATAAATTAAAAATAAAATAATAATAAAATAAAATAAAATCCTCCTTACCATCTATGGTAACATGCAGGACAAATAACCCTTCTTCATTTCCCAGAGCGATTCTTTTGTGATCTGAATTTGATACATAAATAAAAAGATCAAGCTTTTTTTGGCTAATGCTAAATAAAACTAATAAGCTGATCAAACTTATCAACACTGAAAAAGTTCAAATTTAATTAATTCATTAAGGTCAAGTTAAATATAAATTTAATATATATAAAATGAAAAGAAATATAATAAGAATAATTAATTTGCACTATTTTTCTTTCAGATTACAGAAGTAAACATAACAAAACATGACCTTTCTCAACAGAAAGATCATTACAAAGTAATATTTATGAACACTTGAAGAAAGTATAATATTCAAGTAATTACATGCTTTCATATTTGCTGCTAAAAATAAATTTCACAAATGAAAAAACTTTGTAATCTAATTTGTCGGTGACCTTGGCCTCAATGAGCCTCAACAGAAACAGCGTTTACCTTTAGCAAAATACAAGGAGAATTAAAACTCAAAAGTGCAGAGACAGCATTCATAGAGGGAAGGCCTTGAAAACAAAAACAGAACTTTACATACGTCATCTCACCTAATCCTTTCCATAACTGTGAAAACAGGAATTATCTGTATTCACAGCGATGCTCAAAGAACTTAGCAACTTGCTCCACGCTGCACAGGCAGTAAATAGCTCTCGTCATCACTGCCATCTGATTCAGAAGAAATGACGTTTGGACATTAAAGGATGTTTGTTTATTAACAGAAGCTTGAATAATGATCTCAGCAATTCATTCATTGATTCACCTATTTTTCATTTATTTCCTGAGTATTGATTGGGTATTGAGAGCACAGAATCGAGCAGTCCCTGCCCTCAAGGTGATAGTTCACAGGGCCACATACTTTGTGATACCCTTGAGGTCAGATGTGGTTTGGAACCCAGAATTTTTCAGACACGAGAAAGGCAGTACTGTATATTTTAAAACACCGTATTATACAGGGCCCAGGGAACCATCACATAATCAAACAGATTAGTATTTTTGCAGAGAATGCTCTGAATAGCCATACTAAGGGGAGACAACCAACAGCCTCATGTCGATTCAGGTCAGGTTTTGCTGCCAAATGAACTGTCAATTAACTTAAGGTTTTCAGATTTCAATTTTGGGATTGCGCTGAGCTGGTACGAACCCAGTGGGGTAAATGTGACCGATCCATACCTATGATTGCAGCTGCCTGGGTGGTTCTGATCAGGGGTAGACTGCTGTCATAAGCCTCTTTCAGAAGGTAGACTGAGCGGCCTCTGGAGTGGCTTTTTTTCAGTATCGTGTGCAATCCACTCAGCGCCTCCACCCACTCACTCTTCTCATTCTCGCTATCGGCTAGTATTGGGACTGAATATGTATTACTAGGTGCTGAGAGCTGAGAAGCTGTGACCTAGAACAATTTAAGTAATATCTATGTTATAAGAAAGCGGACACTCTTTATGCTAGCCTGTTAACATTTTTCATTAAACTCACCATTGGTAAATGACAGCTCTGATATTATTACCCTCTTCCTGGTTAGTAGAATAAATGGTGTGAGCATGAGAACCCAGGCCAAAAGCAAGGGTCAGGCGCTCTGGAAAATGGGGAGTCAGCTCTACTGTAATCTTCGCAGGAACACTGGAGCTCTGTGACTAAACAACACATTGCATCCAACTGCATCGCATGAAAACGC